GTGTGTGTGTGTGTGTGTGTGTGTGTGTGTGTGTGTGTGTGTGTGTGAAGTACCTGGTGAGCCCACCACACCATCAGGTAGGAGAAGAAAGCAATCCAACTAATGGAGCCGAGGAAAGTGACAGGGAAGAACCTCGCTGAGGTCTGAAAACCACAAGAGCAACAAAGTCAAACGACCACTCAATCAGTTATTCTTCGGCCCAGCCTAGAGCCCGATATACCAATGTCAACATATAAAATAATATTTTGGAACCTGCAGTTACTCAGAAAACTATTGAGCAGGTCATGCAGTAAATTAACAAAATAAGAGACACATGTAATCTTAGTTATTCTACATTTCGCATGCTTCCAGAACCAGAAACTCTTCAATACAGAATGTGAATATGCAGTCGAGCAAAAACAAATATTTCATTGATTGCATTGTGTTATAACTCCAAGTTGTTTCTTCATGTTTGCGCACATAAAACACGCTTTACATATCATGTGTGTGTGTGTGTGTGTGTGTGTGTGTGTGTGTGTGTGTGTTGTCACCTCTCTCCTGACGTCGGGCAGTGTGAGCCACAGTGGAAAGACAATGGGCAGGATGATGAGGTAGATGAACCGTTTCCTGTTGGTGTCGGGCCAGGCCAGGCTCAGAGGCTGGTCTTCTTCCTCTTTTTCTTCACCCCCCTGAAGAAGAAACATTTTCCATCATGCTTTTAAAAAAGAAAAACTTGTGTTCTTAACTGAGGCGCTATAAAAACGTACAGTTTAACATGTGAACTTGGAGGAATGCTCAAAGATAAAAGCCATACCTCGTCTCCTCCTGCAACACCGTTCATGGGTGGTGTGACTTCCACTGCAACATTTGAACTGTTGGGGATTCTTTTATCAGCTTGAGGAAAGAAAAATAAACCATATTAAAAACAGAGTGGAACTTGTTCACAGGAACAGTATTCATTTGAAATAAAAAGATGGTATCTAATGATGTTAAAAAAAGAGCTGGAACTGTACAATTTGCATTTCTTGGAGGTTGTGTCTGGGAGAGGCCTCCTATTGAGAAACAAAATATACACAGCATCACATACATGCCCCTTAACAATGAATATACCAAATCAGGTCAGTCAAGTCAGTCAGCTGATAACTTGATTGAAACTACCACATACTTAATGTTACACTAACTGAAAGACATCATTACGTTACTTATGCAATCTTGACCTTCAAAAAAGTCCAGTTATTCATTTCTGATTATCAAACTATTGATCATTTTACGTATTGTTTTCACCATTCATCTATAGACACAGTTCTCAATTGGAGTAAAGATCTGACGATTGATTTGTCACTTGATCTTTGAGTGGGACAAATAGTCTCACACGGCCCTGTTGCTCACCTACACCGTTGGCACAGGCAGCTTCTACTTTACACTTCTGCTTGGCCATTTTGTGGAGGATTGATGCCTTCTCTTTGAACTGTCCTGAAACAAAAGAGACTCAGTCAGCCCAGCGTTGTCCCCTGAACATTTGTGATTAAGTATTATATATACATGCCATGTGCAATGGGGGGAATATGTTTCCCACTGATTATTTCCTAAGAAAGAAGTAAGGAAATACTAAGAAGTGGAAAGTGGTTAGATGAATGAAGATCTTACAATATGTTACCTCAACCAAACACTATTGTGCACATAAACATTTCCTGAACCTAATTCTGATCCTAAACATAATCTTCACCAAAGCTGTTTATGTAAAAATATACTGTTAATTGAATTGTTTCATTGTAATAACATTATATCTTTTTGCATTTGTGTGTGTGTGTGTGTGTGTGTGTGTGTAAGTGTATGTATGTGTGGTGTTGTGCTTATTTATTTGCTTACCCATACCTTCATCACTGAGAGGGTCGAGGGTGTGTATCATGAGCTGGAAGATGCTGTTTCTCATCAGTGAGTTGTGTAGAGAGGCACAGCTGCCTTCCCTCTGCAGCCTCGGTTTGGCCTGTAAAAATATCACAAATACAGAAATATATATAAATAATATACATTATATTCAATGCAAAATAAATGAATGTGTACATACTTGTTCTACATTTGGCTCCATTTAACATTTTTATGAACTCACGGAACTTCTAAAACATTTCAAAATAATTTGGTGATGTAAAAAAAAAAACCTTAAGAGCAATAGTTTGAATGTCATATCTCTACTGCAGCTTATTTCTAGTGTGAATGTAGAATATGTATCTGGACACGTTTTTATATAAAATGGCTGACTTTGATACATACAGCATACTGTAAATATATGCAGGCACATAAACATGACCTACACTAGACGCTACAGGGATCATACAGAGAAGTTCACACACACAAAACAAACTCACCGACAGCTTGTTCTCGTCATCTCCAGGTGCATTGACCTGTTAAGACACAGAGAAAGAAATCAATATATGGACAGTATATGTTTTCTCATATACAGTATACACAGGGAATAGAGACAGTAACACAAATGCATGTATTATATGCAATCCAACACATTAGGCCTGCAGTGTATACAAACACACACGCACGCACACACACACACACATACAAACACACACACTCTCAGTCCACTGGCTGGAACAGATAGAGACTGTGGTGGTGGTTTTTGAAGTGGTTGATATCAGCAGTGGGGAGGCTTTGGTGTGGAATGAACATAACTTCTCGTGAGTCGATATTGTTTTGTCAAATGTAAACGTAATTGTGATCACGGAGGTTTGTGTGAGCTGTTCTAATTTTATTAACTTGGCAATTACTGCTATGAAATACACTGATTTCCAATGCAAACAGCAAATCAACATGTCTGTTATTTTCTGTCTTCATGTATTGCTCAAGAAGAAGAAGGTTTTTATGAACATTTACAGAGCTAAATATTTTTAAAGTGAACTCACTCGCTCGCACACCCTCATAACAGATTTACAGGTATGATTAACCGAAGAGCTGCGATGGCGCTATCTGAGGTGAATTGTACTCATGTGGCTCAACGTTTACCTTAAATAGCGCTAAACTTAACACAGAGTTAGCTTACACAAACGATTACATCACACAGCCGAGGTTGCTACTCCGTCCCTTTTTCCAGACTTCCCAATTCCTTTTAAAGATTACAAATGTCCTACAAAGACAGCCAGTACCGGAGGTATCTGAATCTTTGAAGAGAACAACACAGACAATCACCGACAACAAGCAGAGAGGTGGAGGGTTTTGTTGTTGACACATTTTCATGATGGAGGCCCCAGTTTGAGAAGATAATCCCTTTAGCTTGCATCTGACAAGACACACGGCTTAAGATAAGGGTTTTCTTTTTCTTTTTGAAGGGGTACCACTTGTCATATGTTTTCCATATAGTCCATATTTGGATCAAACACAGAATTGAATTTCATAAATGTGTGACCAAGTTCTCAAAGCCAATCATATTTGTTTTGAGTGAAGATAGAGGTATTTCATGTTGGCAATCATTTTTGTCAAACAAAATGAATAGAAATGTATTGAGGTTAACGTTAACAAGTAACATAACAGAAGTTGTGGACACCTGCCCATGTGATTGCTGATGAGCTCTAATGGCAGAGGATAGTTGGGCATTAGTTTATGTTGGTTGGTGCTCACTTGATGACAAAAGACACTTACAACCTGCTGTAGACTCTGCTGAGACTGAAATTATATGTATTTAAATTAGACCAGTTATACGGCAGTATACTCCGATAACTGCTGCATTGTGCAACATGTTTGTATTCTGCATGACATACTGTAACTTATTTTGAAAAGCTGCTAATCTTTGTTACCTTACACCCTTATGTCACTCCTCTCAGCTCTGATTGAGTGTTTGTGAGGTTAAACCTCTCCTCAGCTTCCCTCCATGAATCACCGATGACTAATCACCAAAAACCTGTCTCAAATCAATTCCAGCAAGTAAAGGGATTTAAAACAAAAAACAGAACATTCTCCAAATCTTTTTTTGCTTGTCAACCAACAGGTTGTAGAAATAAAATCAAGCACGATGCTGAAGAAAACTGTTACACAATACGATGATTAAGAGGCATCTACTCTCAGATAAAGAAAATGAAAGATACAGTGTTAAGATTGTTAACGTACAAACATTTCTATTTTGGTAGATATAATAATACATTTACAGATGCAATAATCTATAGATGAAAGCAAGCACGAAATGCAGAAAAGGTTTTGCCACTACATTGCTAATGCCGCTTCCAGTATAAAGCGGCATGTTTTCCTTTATTGTTCAATATTTGATGCGTTTGTTTTGCAGTTTCAGATAAAACTCAGCTCCAGCTCATTGGTCTGTAGTGTACATCGCTTGTCACTGACTTAAACAAAACAGCTCACCATGGGCCATATTCATAAGCTGTAAATTATGAAGCAGAATTTCAAATTACATCCAAACCCTTATGCATCAAAATCTATCTATCAAGTAAAGAGTCTCTACACGCAAATCCCAGCTTGTTCATAATATAACAGAGCTGTTTGACACCCGAAGGTGATCAGAAGAAGACGAAAGCCTCAAGCTTAAAATACTGTTGACTGAGCTGCTCCTGCTGGTTTCATCCCCGGTCAACAAACGCGGGAATAATTCCAAATTCTAAAATCCTACAGATTTACACCTTTCATCCCAATCATCATCATTCTCATCATTGAGGGACAGTCCGACCCCCCCCCCCCCCTCTCTCTCTCTCTCTCTCTCTCTCCACCTGACTGTCCAAGCTGTGGGACTTAGCCAGGATTAATCTGCAGAGATCACCCCTTTTAGACTGCTACTTTTCAAGCCTGCATGTAAAGTCCCGCAGCAACCTTCACAGGTCACCGTCCTATCAAACATTTCCCTTTCACTCTCATCGGTCAGCAAATATTAAAAGCATTTCAAGCTACACAACTGCTGCAGTTTAACTCCAGTTACACTCCAAATGGCAGAGGAGTGTAATGATTATGTGCTCAACAGAATGCATCAAAAGTTATAGATGCATTTGTTTTCACTGCTGCATTGGACAGAGGGTTTTGATCGTGATCACAATAGTCTGAATTTGATTAGTCAGGTCTGCTGTGCAAGTATAGAATCCATCAGATGAGCTTTGTGCTGACCCCAGAACACAACTAACAAGACTGTATGAAGTGTCACTATTGTTAAATAAAGGTTGTATACTTTCAGCTGTGTTTTGTTGGATAATTACATAAAACAATTGCATCTGCTCTTTGGGTCATGACTATTATATTCTCTTATGTTCCCTTATGGGAAACAATATAACTGTACTTACTAACATGTAATAGATAATAACTATTGACCAATTCATCTTCCTTCGCTGTACAGATACCTATGGCAAGTTTAATTTTGTATGAAGTTGCAGATGCACTGCGCTGCTGCATTGTAATCCAGGTCTGATATTAATGATTACAAGGAAAATGTGAACATTATATTAGAGCTCTGCAGAGATTGAGTGACACTGTGCTGGGCTGCATGTTTGCTGTCGTCACCGCAGGTAAGCAGTGGATAAGGGGATCAGAGAGGATTGTCGTCTTTAGTGCCATCAGCAAGAAAACCATCAGATCTTCTCTTTCTCACCCTCTCTTTGTAGACACTCTATGCTGTGTGCAAAAGCAGCATGAAACATCCAAATATAATACAAATAAAAACCACACCAAGGTGATGAGCCCGACTGCAGGCAGAGGACGGGGCAGCTTGTAATTTTTCTCTCAGTGATCTGCTGATTCTTGCTCCTTCCAGAGAGCATCAGACTATTATTAGTGGCTCTAATGGGATTGGGGAGCATTAACCCGAGAGATTATTAAGCAGCTACCGACACATGAGGCCAAGGCAGTTGGACATCGAGTGCAGAACGACAGAAAGAGAAAAGCTGTTCTTGGGCTGAGGGGCGGCAGCCTGAAGAAGAGCTGATTCCCAGAAGGGCATGCATGTCAAACAGAGCTTCTGTAACAACACTGATCAGCATGTGCTCGCGTGTTTACAACAAAAAGATCATGACATTTACAAAAGTGGATAAGATATAAAACACAAAAAAAATCTCATCGTAATTGACAGTAACTGATTCCTGGTGAATGGATTAGGTTGAAATAAAAACATGTTAAAAAAAGAAAAACATTTTGATCAGCCTGAAGATGATGAAGACACTGAAAAAGTACAACATTATTACTATTACTAATACCAATCCAATTTTAAAAATAAATAAAACAGTTACCTAAGCATTTAAGGGGAGGAGTTTTAAAGCAGGTGATCATGAGCTCATCCGTTCCTATAACGGGAGAACTTCTCCTGGCCTCAATCACTACCATAAAAATAGTTGCCTCCTTCTCTAAAGTGTTTTCTATCACTATTGCATCTTAACTATTTCTTTCTGTATATCTTTTAATAGCACAATATCTCACTTTATTGGCCTATAATGAAATAAAATGTACATTATTTGTAATTAATCTTTTCAGACAAACAAACCCAGATCATGTGCAGCAGTGCCCTGTTAACGCCCCTGAATAACTGGTGATCGGTCGGCTGGTAGGCTGTGAGCGAACTGCTCTTAGATCAGCCTATTGTAGTTTTAGTTTTTGCCACCTGAGCGCCGTTTGAGATTACAACATTGGAGAGCAACAGATCTGACTCCAACTACACACACAGACAGAAACGGATGCAGAGACAGACTTGAAAAATAGACTGTTTGTGTTTTCATGTGTCGCATTTGAACCTTTTGAACGCAGCATCATTTCCCCCCTCTGTCTTGAATCTGCTGCCTTAAACACAGCAGCAAGCAGCTCAAAGAGCACTCCAAGCTAATCCCAAAATTACACTTCCCCATCATCTCTTCCCGGCTGACATGAAGTGATTGGTTTTGTGATTGTGAAGTGATTGGTAAGTGTCTTGTGGTAGGCCAACATCCTGTGAGTATGACTCATAATGTGAAAGAAAAAACACTAATGTCACACTGATAAATAACCAGAACACTCTCTCATGTCTCATGCTTTCCTAACATTGTGACCAGATTGTAAACAGATGCTCTGCAATTATATCTAGTTATGTTTAATGAGCTGAAATAGAAGACAACCAACACTCAAAGCTGCAACCTTCCTCCAGAGTCAAGAGACCACTTTTTCCAATGTCAGGAAAAAGACGAGGGGAGCTGAAGTAGGCAGCGTGCTGATGAGGTTGAAGAGATGCTACAAGGATTTCTGGTTTCTGATTTAATTTAGTTGCTTTCAGTTTTCAACATACAGGATGCTCAAGTCCAGCTCAACCGTCACAAAACTCTGTCAATTTCATTAACTTACTCCTAGCATGGAATTTAGAAATAATACTATGTATGAGTGTGGGTGATATTTAGATATTTTGCAATGTTATTTATGGTGTTCTTACTGGATATGTAAAACTAGAACTAGAACTACATAACTATAATGTGCTTCGCTTAAATAAAAGGATAACCGAATATTGACTGAAAGTTAAATCGATTTTTATAAATTCAGGCTGGTGTAGTTCGGATGTTCAGGGTTTATATGTATTCAATATTCAATAGCATCAAAAGTTATCTGAAGACAGTTTATGGACCAGCTCTGTTACATGAGCCCTATTCTGACACTTTGGTCTGGACTTGGTCAATAAAAGTAATGACGGAAGATGAGGCCCATAGGCCTAGTCAGCACCAAGGGGCTGCAGTCTGGCTCTGCGTCTAGCAATGTCCGAGCAGGTGGCAGGTTAAGACAAAGCTTTATATCCTTCCAGAGAAGAAGTCAAGAGGGTTTGGCTGCTTGACAAAGTGCTGTCTGTTCAACACCCTGTCTGATTCCCAGAATAAGAGCACTACTATTCTCGGGGTCAGTAGCCGAAACAGGTTCACTGTAGGATCTTATTCATTGTGACATACAAATGCTTTTCTCAGATCAGTCATCAACAGATGTCCAGATTTCAGCCAAAATATACTGACAAATGAACAGTCAGGGTTCCATTCTAGAAATGTTGTAACTGCATCCACTTATCAGAAACTCATTTCAAGAAACACAAATGTTCCCTTAAAGACACAAAAAAGAATCTGAATCTTAGTTGGCTATTTTCAGCTTTGAGAGATTTTTACTTAATTTTTCCTGCATTAGAAAGCGTTGAGAGTTGTTTGTGATGGTTACGCTGTGTAATGGATGGATGTAAGGATCAGATGATGTCAACTGAGATGGGTTGAAAACATAAAGTAAAGGGTAGAGTGGTCAACAAAAGAGAGGAAATAAGGGAAGATGAATGGATGAATGAGTGGATGAAGGGATTGATGAACAAATGGATGTATGGATATATGGATGGATTGATGGACAAGTGGACAGATAGATAAATGGAATGATGGATGGAGTCAGACTCACCTTTGGTGCCGTCTCCAGCTCGTCCACCTGGTTGCTGCCCAGGAGGGCCTTGATGAGATATTCTATTTTGGCATTGAACTTCATGAATGTCACGTAGCAGGTGTAGCACGACAGCAGACCGAGACTTTCCCCAAACGTGATTTCGTTATCCAGAAAGAAATAGATGAGCATGAGCAAGCCAATGATATAGAATGAGACATCTCTGAACAGAGGCCACCAGGTGAGGTTCAGCACCTCTTTGGAGAACAGGGCGCACATCCCTATCACAAACAGGATGTTGAAGACAGCGGAGCCCACGATGGTACCGATACCCACGTTACTGTGGGAGACAAAGACTCCTATGACAGAAGTGAAGAGCTCCGGGGCTGAGCCACCTGCTGCCATGAAGGTGGCTCCTGCTACATCATCAGATATCTGCAGCTTCTCTGTGATAACAGTGAGCGCAGGAACAAAGAACTCATCGCAGACTAAGGCTAAGGCTATGAACATGTACAGCATGCCAAGCATATGAAAACACACATAGCCCTGACGTCTCTCCTCCACGCTAAAGTAGTCTGTTGGGTAGTCCCCGTGATTCATCTCTATATCAGATGATTTCATGGCCACTGGTTTGTCCTCTGGCGCGGCAGAGAGGTTGTGGTACTGCAGAAGAGTTCTTTGGGGCACTAACGCCTCTGCCGATCCCTCAGCGGACGACTCCAGCTCCTTGGCCATTGCTGTGACCAGTGACAAGGCACTCCATGAACAGAATGTGCAGACAGCCACCATGCTGATGATGAAGCCCATAATCCGTCCGGGCCGCAGCTTTCTTTTGATGCCATGGTAGTGGTGCCTGGTGCAGCTGCTTTGAGGGCCCAAAAGAGGCTCAGAGCTGGAGAAAGCCATCCTGTCTCGACTTCTTAGTAGGAAATCCATGGTGTTGGCCTAGATTGTCAGGCAGAGTGGAAGTGTCTAGAGTCACCCTCGAAGCTGGGTTGGTGGTGCAGGTGGCTACGAGGGTGGGGGTTTGACAAGCCGCAACAGTTCACCGATCTGTTAGCATGCTGCTTCCCAGTCTAAGCATGATGGAAGCCCTGCAGTCTGATTCCAGGATCTAGCCCATTCAAAGGCATATTCCTCATATTACTCACTGCAAGACAGAGAAATAAAAAGACTGTTTTAATCTCAGTGAGCAGATTTTTTAAATAACTATGAACAATTAGTGTACACAATTAGAACAGAATACATAAAGATCAGTGTCTTAATGAGTGTTAATATGTTAATATTTCTGATATCCATCCACTTACAGGCCTCGTTAGAAATGATATATTTATTCAGGTTCTGTAGCTATGTACAATTTTGAGACACTTGTTGAGTATTTCTATTTTCTGCTGCTTTCTACCACGACATCTCAGAGGGAAATAGTGTACTTTTTAAACCACACAATATATCTAACAACTAAAGTTATTTAGCAGACAATGGCTTTAAATGCAAAAGATAAGATGAATAAGATATGGTATGTTATTATCCACTGCTATGCTGATGACACAAAGCTCTACTTCTTCCCCAAATCCATCACCCCCGTCACCTACTTCACTACCACCAACTGCCTCAAAGACATAAACTGTGCAAGCCAACTTTCTTAAACTCTACAGCGACAAATCTTAAATCCTCATCATCGGCCTCAAATCACTAAACAAATCCCACCACAGCTTATCCCCCCGCATCGTTGGAACCACTGTTCCTGCTTCCACACATGTCCGTAATCTTGGAATCATTTTCGATCAAACCCTCTCCTTTCGAACGCCACGCCAATCCCATCACAAAAAAACATCTTCTTTCATGTCAAAAACATTACCTGTCTACACCGCTCCCTTTCCTCCCCACAGCATCCGGTACGGCTCATCCACCAAAATCATCAACAAACTACAATACATCCAGAACTCAGCTCCCCGTCTGCTCTCCCACTCCCGCACCAGAGATCACATCACCCCAGTCCTTCAAAACCTCCACTGGCTCCCCATACAGCAAATAATCCAGTTCAAGATTCTTCTCATTACATACAAAGCCCTTCATAACCTCGCCCCTTCATACCTTTCGGGCCTCCTGCACCGACACACTCCCACCCGCAACCTCAGATCCGCCAACCCCAACCTCCTTACCCCCCCTACTCTGTCCAACATCGGACCTGGGAGGACAGGGCCTTCTCTATTACTGCACCCTTCCTCTGGAACTCCCCCCCCTCCCCCCCCCCCCCCCCCCCCCCCCCCAGCACCTCAGACAGTCTCTGTCACTCGCCCCTTTCAAAACCGCACTTAAAACTCATTTATTTAAATCTGCTTTTAACCATGTGGTGCTAGTTATGATTGTTTTCGTTTTGTTTCTTACTGTTATAATGTCATCTATCTGCCTTGCTTGTATTGTTATTGCTTTTATTGTTTCTGTTTTTACCATGTAAAGTGCCTTTGAGTACCCTTTAAAGCACTATACAAAATAAATGTGTTATCATTATTATTATTTTAGATTAAACTAACTGATAAAAAAGTGTATAAAGTAGCTAGAATGATCCCTCCCGCGACTTGCTACACCATTTCAATTTGCTTACATACTATTGCATCAGTGATAATAACCCAATAATATTTGTTGAACTGTCTATTCTAAGTATTATGCTACTGATTTTATTGGAACTGTAAGGTCTATATTTGTGTCTGCTGCATAGGTTATCTTTTAAGGCTCAGATGAACAATAATTGCTGGGCAAATTATTCTGTGTTGGCTGTTTTTACGTTACTCATATGTATGTAAACTTACAAAGATGTATCACAGACTTATACAACATATTTGAAAGTCTGAATAAGAGCTGAAATATTTGTTTTTTCTTGTAGCTGGAACTATGGTCAGTGCTGAATTGCTAATAACGTTTGATTGTATTAATAGCAGTGATTCTGTTAAAGTCCTGTGGCTTTCTTGTCATTGTGCTGAGAACCTGCAGTGTTATATTTACCTTAAATGAAGCTTGGACATTAGTGAAAGCTCATTAGGGAGCTATTTAATCCCTGAGAAGTTATACTTAGATTAGCCTCAGGCCATGCACACTGATGCCGCTGCACAAAGTCAGATATCATCAATGATCAGTGAATTTGAGTGACAAAAAATAAGTAATGAGCATAGAGGTTATACAAGGCTGCAACAGCTACACTGGGACAAACTGCAACGTTGAAACTTCATCTCATGAATCCTACACAATCCCCATTATTCATTTGGGACACCAATTTGTTAACATTTAGCCAACATTTTCAAAAGCAACTGTGCTCTTAAAGTTGCACATTTGTAGTAGTAGTTTAAGAATCAAGCTCGACTCTATTAACAGCTACGCACAAAAAGCACACAAATGTATATTTTTCTCATACCACACTTGGAAATCTCCCGTTCAGGACTCCAGCAGGTCTGAGTCTCTGAATGAATATTCCAGAAAATTGAATCCCAAAAGGAGAAAAGTCCTGAGAGCTCAGAGTTCAGTCTGAAGGTCCCAACAGTAAATCCTCAGTGAGATTTTCCTCCCTCAGCCAAGGTGGAGCTCCGCGATGCCAGGTCAGAAGCCCAGGAACCAAGGGCTCCTCCCTCCCTCTCAGTGTTCCTCCCACCTTTGATACGGCCTCCCCTCCTTCCCTACTTCAGTATATCTCTGACTCTACCTTTCCCCTCCATCTCTTTTCCCTATCCTGTCCAAGATCAAGGATCAATGCCATCTTCCTCTCTCCACCACCCCACCGCCACCTGTTCCCACCTCCCCCAGTGTCATGTATCATTTCTCCCCACACCCAAGCAAATGCGTCTTACACAACAAGCTCACAGCTTGATGAGGCTGAAGCCTACTGTTCTATCAGATCATAGTGCTGTGCATAAAGTCCTTGAAAACTGTCCTAACTACTCCGTGACGTAGCATGCTGCAGCATAGTTCAGGGAGGATGCTGCATGATAATTGTGTGTATTACAGCTTTAAAACTTTTAAATTAGGGTGTCAGACTGTTTCGACTGAAAGAGGCATGAAGAAACATTTTTTAAATGCACCACTTAATTCAGGGTTTAGTTGACTTATATTGATACCTTTGCAGAGTTTTTCTCTCATATTTGCATTTTCTTTCTGACTACAAATGTATTCTTTCTTCTAACAACTTTTTGATACTTCCCTCCAATTATTGACATCATTGTGCAGTTTTCTTTGTAAAAGATCGTTTGCACGTTTGTAAAATTGCAAATGAGAATGTAAAGTTTGCATGACATGTTCTTGTTATAAACAACCAGTTGTTGGAGGTGACATCACCATGCCTCTGCTGTCTTTCATTTCCTGCATGCCTGTAATTGGCTTTTGGATACAACACCTGCTCTGAATCCTTAATTTGTAGCACAACACTTAAGCCTACTGACACATGCTAATGTGGACCCAGTGGGTCCAGTATGTGGGTCCCAGGACATAAGATTATATATCAGACTGTATAGATATAATATGGTATTAAGTCTCACCCCTTATTTTGCCAAAGGAAAAAAAATGTCATGTGTACAAATACTATATAAAATAATGATGATAAATGATAAAAAACAAAATAATTTCTTGAAGTGTAAATTATAACAAAATGTTGATTGAGCAGTGTGTGTGAGTTTGGTGTGTGTGCACACTTCAAGCCAGGTCAGGCTTTACACAAGAGAACCGTAAGCTTCCGAAGCCACGTGAAGGTGAGATCAAATGATGTGACCTATTCTGTTACGTAGCGTGTCCCTAACATAGCCCCACCTCTACAGCAGCAGTGTGTGTGTGTGTGTGTGTGTGTGTGTGTGTGTGTGCTTGTGTATGTAGTCGTGTTATAAAAGTCAAAATAAGTCAAATGAGATAAATAATCCCACCCCACTGGCAGATTAGAAATATAAAAGTTTGAATGAGATTTTTTAATTTTACAATGAACACTATCACAAAAGTTATTGAAGATGGAGATTTATGAAAATGGTGTGAAAGAAAACTAGAGATGGGAACACACCAGTTGCGACACCAAATCGTACCAGGGGCGTAAAGTGTGTTTGGCACCCTTCCCCCCTTCCTATCCCCCCTACTTCTGGTGCCTTGCCCGGACCACACCCATCGTTTCTCACCTCCTACTGTTCTTATCCAATTAAACAGGGGCATACTTAATGGCTTGTTCCCTCACAAGCAAAGTGTTGCTATTGATTCTTACAGTCCGTCTGTTTCCTCAGCCAGTCAAGCTCCATTACCTTGTGGGAACAGGCGTGTGTTTTTCAAAACATTCTGCATAAAGTATGATGAAGTTTCAGAATGGTCTCAGGCTGTATGTCTAGGGGGTCTGTAGACAAGCTCACATAAAGGAAACAAGAGAAAATACAAATTGTGCAAACATTACTTTGATAAAAGATGTTGCATGCTCCCCATATTAAATACAGCCTACATATTTTATTTCCACACTGTCAAACAACAAGGCAATGCCATGGCCTGAGGTGACTGTTGGTGAGGTGCAGAGGTGTTTGACCTCAGTAAGGATTCTGCATGGGGCTATAGCTGCTATATTAAGGGCTATGTAAAGTCGTGACATGGCTAAACTTGTTACATAACTAAAAAGGCTAAACTAACCCTCCTTCTAGGCAGGCAGAGGTTATATATCGCCTGCAGAACTTGAAATAAAAATAAGTCTCTTGGCATACAGAAGGTCACCAGACCTTTAGTAGTTGTTTCGGGTTAAATTTATGATGCTCTTCTCTTAAAAAAAACTAATGAGATCTGTTAGGGGTCGACTCTAAGATAGCTGGGGTTAGAGTGCAAAGATGTAGCTTAATTACGTCTGGACACAAACCTTAGCACAACCTTGGCCAAGAGAGTTAAAGATGAAAACCTTGATTTTGCATTGGACAGCAATTGGCACCCTCGAAAAGAATATTCAATTTTTTAATTCTATCAAGGTGAGAAGTGGCTCACTTGCTAAGTAATTTTCATTGGCAGGCCAGGCAGTGAAAAGTGAGAGGTATGCATGTTCCTCTGTGAAGCTGGGATCAGCAGCAGCTTATTGGCTAAAGCTTGTGCCTGAAATAGCAGCTAAGTTATATACGCCTTAGAGAGAGACCCTCCATCTGTGAACAGGGACGGCCCAGGTAATTGGTGAGATCTATATAATGAGTCAATGAATAGAACGTTTCAATGGGATAGCTGAAGCTAGCTAGCTGGGATAGGATCATCTGATGTCTTTCTCACACACTCCAACCAAGGAAACTAAAAAAGACTGAGGCTATGCTACATGTCCAATATATGAAAAGAAAATATGTAAGATCAGACTGTTATTTTGTTCTAACATAACCCTGTTTTGCTGCTTAGCGCACTAGGAAAGGTCAGTGTTCTGTACAGATGTATGCTTTAATGTTCATAATGAAAAACAACGATTCAGTATTATAATAAGTAAAATACTGAACTGTAAAGTATGAACCCAGCAAGACTAGAACCAAACGTTTTGGATTGGTGAACCATAAAGGTATGAAGCCATCTATTTACTCACTTCCACAAATTAAATGAGAATATTTTCAATGCAGAACATCGGTGTGTATGGAGCACTTGAGATTCACACAGATCACCTGATCAATCCAATATAAATATGTCCAGACGCCTTGGACCAGCCCCTAGATATGCTGCTATAGGCCTAGACTGCCAGGGGACTTGATACACTGAGCTCCTCTCTCCTCTTCTCTCTCTCTCCTTCTGTATGAATTCATGTCCCATTAATGCACATTACTAACTTTGCTTCTTCCCCGGAGTCTTTGTTCTTTCTCGCCTCACAGGTTTCCATGGATTGCGGTTATATCTGGACCCTGGTCCTTCCTGACACCCACTGCTAATATTGTTTTTATTATTAGTCAAATTACTATTTCTATTACCGATACCATTAACGCATATTACTGACTTTGCTTCTTCACCGGAGTCTTTGTGCTTTCTCGCCTCGCAGGTTTCCGTGGATCGTGCTTATATCTGGACTGTGGTCTTGCCTGACACCCACTGCTATGATTATTATTACTAGTCGCATTGCTATTGCTGATACCATTACTGCTTTTGTTACCATTGTTATTCTACTATATCCACTTGTGCTGTTATTACTAGTAATAGTTTCCATCATTATTATATCTACTACTCTCATTTTATGAATAATATATGTCATATGCATTGAATGTGTTGTAACTCTGTTATGATGTTCATTCTGTACACATGACATCTATTACACTTATTTCCATCCTGGGAGAGGGATCCCTCCCAAAGCTCTCAAAGGTTTCTTCCCTTTTTCTCCCCGTTAGGAAAGAGGTTGTCACATGTGTACGGATTGTAAAGCCCTCTGAGGCTAATTTGTGGTTTGTGATTTTGGGCTATACAAAATGAATTGAATTGAATAGATCAAAAACAATGTGCACTCACCAAGTCAATGCACAGATAATATCAGTGTGTGGTATGTTATTTCACAGAAACTAACTGCACATCTAAAGATAATAAACCTACCATGAGAAGGAGAGAACAAAGTGAATGTGGCATACACAGAGGGAGTCGATCCGAGCATCAAAGTGATGTAGCAAAGACAAGGGAAAACCTCAGGGAGGAAATTCGGGCAACATTTTATTTGGAGGCTTCAACTTTTCAGAACATCAAATCTCAACAGAGTCTCCACAGGTTGTGACATGTTCAGTTAACATCCGGACGGGTTTGGGTTTGTGACAAAAACAAGGTTAATTGTGAGAGGGGGCATTTCTTCTTTTGGTTTTGGGAAGCGTCTGGCTCCGGTAGTCTTATTGTGCTTCTCTCAAAGAAGCAGCACAAACACAAACCATGCAGGATATCATGAACTTACATTAATGAGCAGGTACAAGAAGAATACAATGAGTGTTTGGCAAAGGGCCTCTGATCTCACCGGTGTGTGAGGAGATGACCAGTGGCAGCTTTGTGTGTTCAATGTTCCTTTAATCTCTACAGAGCAGGCAAAAACTATAGTGCAAAGTATGTTAAGTTAACAGTAACAACAACTGGCTTTTGTGCCACCTCAGAAAGTGCTGCACTAGTACTGACCACAGGACTGAGACTACTATTGAGCCTCTTGTAAGATTATGGTGGGTTTATCACTTGAGCAAAGTAACTGCTTGAACCACTATCACAACAAAAATGACCAATATCAGCAGAGGAATCGATAACGTTTCCTCTCAAATGATGTGCCTTTTCTGCCCATTTAGAAACTCCTTGCCATCCTCAGCACTTCTTGTTCTTGCAGTACCCTTTCACCATCTCTGGCATGATGCTGTCATCCTCCTCCACATCCTCCGTCACGGTCTTTCCCACCATTTTGCACAAGTCCTCGGCCGCGATACCCATCGGCTCGGCCGCCTTCACCGCCAACATGTCCTGAGTCAGGACAGTTCCTTTGGGGATCTTGACCTTGGCCACCACAGATTTACCCAGCTTGAAGAATAGAAAATAAAAGGTCTGAAATTATTATTGTTCTCATGGCACAGTAGAAAAAAAAAATCAAAAATATTTTCTTAAAGGTTATCTGTCTTTCTAAACAGTGAAAATGTAATTTAACTATGGCTCGCATTTAAAAAAAAATAATTCTGTGGAGCCAGAATATCTCACCTTAGCATGGCATGCCTTCTCACAAGGTAACATCTGCTTGATGCAGCACCCCTGCGCCATCTCCACCTCTCGGATGGAACGAACCAGCTCTTTTAGCTCACTGGGCTCCAGAGAGGCGCTGTGGTCATTTCCTTTCCATGTCTTGTCCAAGGTTACGTGGCGCTCGATGACCTTTGCACCCATAACTGCGGCCGCAATTGAAATACTGATCCCTGTCTCATGGCCGGAGTATCCAATGGGAATATCGGGAAATTCCTTCTGGTATTCCTGTAGTTTACAAGTGGGTGAGTGTTACTCCTAAATCTCTCAGAAGATTGACACTACAGTCACATTTGTGAGTTAAATTTGAAGCTAGAGCCAGCTGCCAGTTAGCTTAGCTTAGCATAATGACTGGAAACCAGGGGGAACAGCTAGCCTGGCTCAGACCAACAGTAACAAAATCCACCAACTCCTGAAATGTCAAAATAAAGTGAGACGCTCAGGATTTAAAATCCTGCTTTTCTCACCGTTATCACTTTGAGGTTGACATTTTTAGGATCCACAGGGTAGGAGCTGGTGCACTGCAGGATGGTAAAGTTGGGGTTGTGCTCCTTCACTATTTTGTAGACCCGACGCATCGTCTCCATGCTCTGCATCCCACTGGACACCACCATGGGCCGTCCTGAAGCAGACAGGAGGGCAACAGCCTGATCAACAATATGTATAACATGGGCAAAGGGGGAAATGCAACCCTTCTCTTTCCTCTTAATGAGCTCCTGTAGTTCAACAATCAAGCTCACTTCATTTATTTTTCATCTCTTAACTAATTTCTACTGACACATTTGTGCATTCTTTCTGCTTCTATTGCTCTTGTTATTGTTTTGCTTAATATCGTATTTGTTTATGTAACGGTGAAGAGCACTGATGATTTTAGCATTTAAATATGCAACATAAAATACATCTGCTGCAGTTCACTCTCACCTTTCTTGGCAGTCTTCTCCATATAGGCGAAGTTGTTGGCGTCTAGTGAGGCCACTTTAAAGAAAGGCACATTAAGCTCATGGAGGAACTCCACTGCCATCTAAAAGACAGAAAAAACAAACGGTTAAACTTCAACCTGATTAAAACCACAGAAAGCCTTCTTCAAACGTCTCTTTCTTACCTCATCCATCCCAGAGGCAGTGAAGCAGATCCCCACCTCCGCAGCATATTTCTGCAGTTCCCTGTACTGCTCATGGCTGAACTCCAGATGGCGCTTATGGTCACCATAGGTTTTCCCCCAGGAGTGAACAGAGTTGTACTCGCGCTCCAAGGCTTTCTTGTTGAATTTACACTCCAATTCACTCTTCTGGAATTTGGCACAATCAGCACCGCAGTCCTGTGAAGGCAGAAATAAGTGAAGGACTAAAAAGAAGGGAAGCTTGTAAAACATACTAAGTAGTGATGATTGATTGTAGGGCTCCTACAGATTGTGCTAAAAAACACAGTAAGGACTATTTCGTACTAATAAGAGGAGACAGTGCTCAATTACTACACTTTCATTATTTCATTATGTAACGGAGATTACATAATGAGTAATAGGTAATTAGAGTAATTCGAGTAGTAATTAGAGTAGTTAGAGTAATAGGTTAAATATTTATTTCTGATTTGTAATATTTGAATTGTGTTTGTCATATAACGATCCTGTTGAGTATGTGTGAATTTGTATCTTAATGAGTTATTTTTATGTAGCGTTTATTTTATTTATGTATTAATATTTCCTGCGGAAATGACGTCCCATCTCTTCTGACTGCACCTCCTAAGCTTCCGTAGTCCCGTTTTCTCCTCACAATGGGGCTTTGTATTGTTGAGGGTAAATTATATGGGAAAATAAATACTGTCGCACTAATTTAGTTGTGATCTTCAAAACTGGAACTGTTAACGCAGCACACCTTAGTAGCCGCTGATGCAATCATGTTATCCGACTGTTATGTGTCACTTTTACTGTTGGAAGTGTGAGTTTTGTGGCTATTTTATTCGGGCTTTTTGGGCGAACTTTTGCTTTTGTGTCGGGCCGCCCATAGAAAAGGGACGTGGCGACGCAGAGATTCATTGTTGTCCATTTGATGTCGCTGATTTTCCCTATGCAAAATGGTGTTTTGCATAGGTGCAGAGGGAGACCAGCAGTTAATATATGCGTGTGTTGTATTGTCTTCTGCAGCAAATAAATGCTGGAAAAGCATCCTCTGAGTTGTCTCCTTCAATGCCCCTATCCAAGTCTATTACAATTATACCTATTCAAATCTATTTCTAGTGTTACAAATAGTTGTTTTTTCACCAGGTGAGCTGATCATGAATTAATGGGATCTAAAAGCGGCATAATAAGCAACATATATGGGAATGAAGTTCACATTAATAAATAGATAAAATATTTTTTTTACTGTGGTTTAATGTAGTTCTTCTAAAGGAAATTCTTCTAGAAATTAACAAAAACTTATCACTGAAATAACTCAAAACGTTGTCTCTATTTTCCCTGTAACGAGGACCAAAATACACAGTTCCTTTCAGGACATGTCCAGGAAATAATTAACAATATACACCTGCAAAACAAGGCTCTACTGAAGGTTTAAAGGAGCAGCCATACTGAAGTGTTTTTACTAAGAAGTTGTGTTTTTAGGTTTATATGTTAAGTGCATTTAAAGTTTCTCACCCATTGCTGCTTCTTTATGTCTATGATGTATTTACACTGAATACACATAAAACGGGCGTGTGCTTCGGCTTCAGTACAGATACGGTTACCTAACATGGCCACTAACTAACACAAGCCAAACTTCATTTAAAGGAATGACTCAGAAGAGGACGGTGAGGCGACAAAAATATTCAATCGGCACATTTTTAAATTGAGTTCTGATTACGTCAGTTCTCGTATCAGAAAATATACGTATTCACATTCAATACAAAGCAATACGTGTCGATTTTATTACCTTTGCCATTTTGATCATTTTCTTGGCAATCTCAATGTCTCCCTGGTGATTTTGTCCAATTTCAGCGATGATGAAGCATGGATGATCTCCTCCGATCATTCTACCGGGACACAGCTCGAACGTTAAAGGCATTTTGTCCAAAGAAAAGAAAACGAACCGGTGAAAATAGCAGAATTATTTAGCAGAGAAGAAATGGAAAGCCGTAGCTGAGACTTGAATCTGAAAGGACCGGTTCATGTGCTGCACATCTAATATATGTGGTAGAACTTGACAGGATCTGCCGCTCTTGTTTAACCAGTATATCCTGTACAACCGGTACGATTGGTCTGAAAGTGGTAGGCCACTGTGACACTGTCACACTGCCACCGCCTCCTCATGCCAATTGTTGTGGAAATTTTACATTCTTTTAAGTAAACTGTTTTATAACTTGTTTTTGTGCAAACTATCACAAGCTTATATCGTATAACTTGTGATCCATGCAGCAGCTGACTTCCTGCACACATATCCTCTTCTTGCTGTCGAATAACAAGCACTTATATGCATGGTGTGTCTGTTGTTACGCAGATAAAGCACTCATTTTTGTGGTCGTGAAGGACTTCTAGCAGAAACACTGGCACTCCATACGGTGGCAAAGACCATTCCAGATTTTCCTCACCACCCACACACCTGTGAATGTGGCGAGCAAGTTACTTGGATCCACGCCAGCCACTGTTAAAAGGTTACTGCACCTACTGACTCATAGGCAGCACTATGTTGACTCAACACAATAGAAAGTGCGAACCAAGTGCCACTCCTGTTGCACCGTTGAATGCACATACACCATACAAGGAACTCCAGAATAATCGACTCACTGACTGTGCCACTTGCACCTATGAGTTAGCCATATTATTTGCCAGACACCCCGTCAGCACATGCATACACTCACTGACAATATACCTAATTGCCATTATTTCTATGGGATTCATGGGAAATCTATCTGCTACGCTATTTACCATCTTTAACTGACGTCGTTCCGGTTCCATTGCCCATCGATACAGATGGATCGGGACTACAGTCACAGATGAAGTTAGCCGCTATGTCAAATTAGACATAGCGGCACACAACAACAGCAGTAGTATTTCTTTGTTATGGCAATATGACGATACAAGTTGAATCAATGTGAATTGTTGTTTGACTTGAAAAATGTTCAGCTCTGACAATTGTATATATTGTGTTGATCAAAAGTATGATCAAAAAGGAGGAATGTAATGGACATTTATATTCTTATCAGTAAACTGTTTTATAACTTGTTTTTGTGCAAACTATCACAAGCTTGCATTATATAACTTGTGATCCATGCAGCTGACTTCCTGCACACATATCCTCTTCTTCTTGCTGTCGAATAACAAGCACTTATATGCACATGTTCTATGGCTTACGGATAAAACGTACATATCCGTGTGTCCATTGTTATGCAGGTAAAGCCCTTCTTTTATTACCACGGGCTGGAGCCGGATGTTCCAGTAAGCAGCACCCCACACTTGATAAATATAACTCTGTGTGACTTTATCTCTGGAGCGTGCACTTCTACAGACTCTTTGTGACTCTGTATAACTGTGCCTCCTCTTGCGAGGATGAATCATTTTAAAGACAAGTTCTGTTTCACGATATTCTTCATTTCAGCTTAAAAAGACTCAACAGCGGGTAAAATGATTTTCCACCACAATATGCAAATGTCATGCAAATTACAGAGTTTCACCAACATCAAAAAAAATTCATTTGAACCCTGTGACAACGGTTCTGATAGCTAAACAATATTTTGGGTAAAAAGCAAGCTGAGACAGGTGAAAAACTCTCCCATGCGCCCATCCCAAAATCATACAAGAAAAGACTATATAGATGCGTCAGAGTCTGGTCAGGAAGACAATACTCTTGCAGACCTACGCCTGTAGTTTATTTCTGATACATCTGCCAGTTACTCCTCACGCATGCTCACTCATTATTTGCTTGCTGTTATTGTTTGGGGCTGTTTCATAATATCAGCTTGATCTCCTCTATCCAATAGCACGACGACACATTGACATTTTTAGCCGACCATCTTGCTGCTGTCTCTCTTAAAAAGGATTGTCTCTCTACCTTCAGTACAGTGCTGTCACGCAACATTTAGAAACTATTTCTATTAATAGAATGGCCACACGTAGCACCCGAGAAAAATGTAACCTTCCTCTCAAATACAGCAGGCCTACATGTATCTCGGTCGAGACGACAAACTATTTAAATAAGTGCAAGGAAAAGTTGTCAGGGGCAGATTTTTTTCAAACAGAGATGATGTTCATATCACGTGAGAAATGTTGCCATTGAGTGAAGACATTTTACAAGCCGGCCATATTGCATATCTCAAATAGAAGAGATAGTGCTTATATTTTCCATGATCAGACCTGAATCATACAGAAGACTGCACGTATCGTCGCATCCCATGTTTGACGGTTGGCGGTTGTTTGTGTATGGTGCATAACACCACGCCCAGACCTGTTTAATCAGTGTAGTTTGCATTTTTATAACTGCAGTTCTTTTGTTCTGACCAGAAAAAGGGATCTATTTGTTACAAGTTCCTTCCTGCAGAGTTGGGTGATGATTCTCTGAGTTTGTCACGACAAGCGACCTCTTTCATATAACACAATCGTGACCCACTGTTAGAAAATATTGATTAGTGCAGCTATAATTTCAATTTATCATATTATTAATGGCAAAAACACCCAAGTCCAATTATTAAAACACACTTGCTTCAAACAAATCGATACACATCCTAGTCCTGAATAATATCTTTTGAAGATTAATTTGGGGAAGAAATAAAAAGGTGTTAAGTAGAAACAAAACACTTCATACAATTATTGTAGGCAAGTGTTAATTGTTGGACATTTGTGTCATGTATTTGACATGCAGACATACGTATAATTATTACTGTGTTTGACATTTGAAAAAGAAAGACAAAGCTAGATGAAGCATGTAACCATTCTTGTATAGTACAGTAAGTAGTCAGTGTCGACAAAAAAGTAGAGCAAAACAGAGATTTGTCAATAAGAAACATTTCCAGGGATGACTGCTATGATGAAAAAACATCTGAACATTTTGACCAGTATGGCTCACACAATGACAAAAGTATTAATTGACACAATAACTATGTTTTTGAGCATGAAATAAATGTTTTGGGTGAGCTACTACCTTATGCGGACATGCAAAAGAGTTGTGATGTCATTACAATATAAAATGCTTTGAGAATGTGAACTAACTGATTTATTTAGCAAACATAACCCTTGAGTTATATCTATCTTAAATATTTTGGCTGGGTTAGGCGGAGTGTAGGCCAAGTAGAAACTTCCCAAAACCCAATATAGAGCAGGATAGACCTGTTGATGTTACCCTTTAGCCTGCTCTGATAATGGATTCCACACAGTGGTATACTAGAACAGTGCGTAACAGGGTGTAACCTCACAAAAAGTATGTGGTTAGCTGATGACATACTGCAGGGTTATCTCTGTCTATTCTGCACATTGACAAGTAGAGAAGCATCTGTGACAGAGAACTGACAGACAAATCTCTTTCATTTAAAAACTCGTACTGTTGAGTAGAACATACGTTACAATATGATGTGACAAATTCAAACTAATGGAAAAGTATTTTATAAAGTCCCAGAATAGCATATCGGAAAACTTAAAACATAAATCATGTACAAGAATATAAGGTTGTGGACAGCGAGTTGTATTTTATTGTTACTTATTGTAGAGCTGTAACAATTGGTTGATTAGTCGATCGACAGAAAACAGTCATCGACTATTTTAAAGACTGATTGATCGTGAAAGTTATTTTGCAGCAGGAGTGTCAGAGGATGCTGTTTTTGGCCCCTCATATGTGGAGATTTCCTGCTTTTTCTGAGGATCTCGCCTTGAATATTGAGAGGATGGGATGGACATATTTTTATATAATACTTATTTATCTATTATTACTGCCATCATTATTATTCATTTTTTTATATATTTTCTATTTCTACATATTACATTTGTGTCTGCTATTATTATTATTAGTAGTAGTAGTAGTAGTCGTAATAATAATAATGATAATAATAATAGTATCCTTATAATTATTACTATATTCTTATCATTATTATTTTCCAAATTATGTAATATTGCTACCACCATTATTGTTTGTCTAATTACTTTTTCTTTTTCTGTAAGAAAGAAAAAAAAGGTATGTCATTGTTATGCACTGTAATGGCAAAATATGTATTAGCATCATGGAAAGTTTTAAAGAACATAGTGTGACATCTTGGTATAATGGAGAAGTAAAAACAGGCCCTGCAAGACACAGATGTCAGCACCTAAAGACCTGTTTTCTTAACTGAAGACATGTTTACATACCAGCGTCGGAAATACACGAGGGCAAAGGGCAAAACTGGCCCTAAGAAATATAATTTTGCCCCTGATATTACTAGGAGAGGGGCAAACAATGCCCCCATAATTTCCTCTAATAATAATGATAATTTAATGAACTTCGTAGCCTATATGAACCGGTCCAGTTGCCATAGACTGTTTTTGATTTTCGCCTTGACTGATGTTGCGTGTGCGTGAAGAACCTAACTTTCCAAACAAATAAATAAATGGAGCGCGTGACTGCGAGACTGCGGTCAACTCAGCAGACACTTAGATTTTAGTGTACCTACATGCTCAAATTCACGGTAAAACGCATTCAAACGGCACAGATCGGGAGCGAGCGAAGGACTTTTAGAGTTAGCGGAAAGATTAACGTGAGACAACATCCGGTTTCTTCAGACGAACATCCGGTTTTCAGAATAAGATGCCAACAAAGTATACATATTGCATAATGGAAATCAGATTAAATGAATTATATTCACATTAAGTATAAAACATGCTACCTGCATCTCGTGAGTTAAAGGGAAAATACACCTAAATTGTGCATAAAGTGTCTTCATTCTTTGATTTGAGGGTTGCTGGAAATGAATAATACCTGACTGACGGTCAATTAAGATATTTTACTAAGCAAAAAGTCTGAACTGAATTTGTACCTTCAAATGGCACATTTGTTTAAATTTTTAAGGTGCTATAAAAATGTTTTTCTCAAAAATCCCACACAATGACTAATGCATATATGTTCAGGACAAAAATGGGTAATATCACAATATTTGAGGTGCTACAAAAATGTTTCTCAGTAATTCCATACAATGACTGATGTATATGTAATCAAGGCATCGTTGTCTTAATAATTGTTAATAGTTGTTTAAAAAATGTAAAAATAACAATAAATAACCACAAAGAAATAAGAATAAAATTGAATATGATTGTCTGATTTATGTTTTCTGTTTGTTTTTTGTTCAAAAAATCTAAGAAAACACTTTGAATCTGTAGACTACTGCTTAATAGTCTTATTATTGCCATTTGATGACAATTGCTCATATACTGTGAGCCTAAATAAGTATAGTTATTATTTTGAACAAAGGTTAAATGTTATTTCACAAGTTTCAAAAAGTGCCCCCAATTGTTTTTGAAATGCCCCTGGATTTCAGTCAGTGGGGGCAAAAATTTCCCCCTAAAAAATATGTAAATTTCCTACCCTGTCACATACTCTGTTTCTCGGAAGGGTAGTTTAAAACAGAAACATGGAAACCACAACCACTCACAGTTGAGCTACCTGCATGAACCAGATATGACCAGACTAGACACTTGAGAGTCATGTGGGGCCTCTGTAGGTATAAAAGGATGTTGAATGTTGTATCTCGTTGAAGCTCACACCACATACTGCTGAATGAGTATCTGTGGTGCACTCTTCCCTTGCAAGCAAATAAATGGACAAAGACAACTTTGAATCTTTTGAAGACTTTGTTATTGATTTGTGAACAACTCTCTCTTCTCCCGATTAACATAGAAATCTTCCATCACAGCACACAGAATAACAGAACAGAACTAGGTAAATGAGCCCTTTGATTCAATAAAGTACCATAAAACCACAGCTGACATATAGACTGATGGTTTTTTTGGCAGAGCACCCAACTGAAGTTCAGTGCAGGAGAACCGCAAATTGTTCCTCTTAAAAGCCGCAGCTGACACATTTTATATCTAAAGATAGAGTGAGTGTTTCTCCACCAGCAGCTGGAGGTAAATGTCAGTTTGTCTGACTCAGTGGTTGATTATAACGGTCTTATAATCTGCGATGAAAATCATGATATCAGTGGTTCAGACGGCTGGTGGAAGGACAACCCATGCAGCTCACCTACCACCATAAAACCGGAGGCCTCAGACCTGACACAAAACATTTCATAATTTTGGGGAAGTCCTCTGATCCTCAGCTACAGAGAGCAGGATTACTGCCAGTCCAGCAGCACCGGCAGCAGACAACAGTTCAGTGTCTTGCCCTGGAGCATGTTCACGGAGATGAAAAAATAAGTAAGAGACATTTGGCTCAGTGTTTTGGGACATTTGGGACATTAATGCACACAATAAACACTTTACAGTTCACTACAATACTGGCTGGATGGAGTTAAACAACGTTCCTATCTGTATTCAGTCAGAGATGAGTTGAAAATCTTGCTTGGATAAATCCAGCTGTACAACTGCACCATCTAGTGGTTCTTTGACTGAAGCTGTCCGAAATGGCCTCCTCTCTATAGTCCACGCATAAATAAGATGTAGGACTGGGGAGGGGTGCAACATCTCTGGTTCTTCACCCAAAATCTGATTTCCGTCCATGCATGAACCACTCAAATGAGAGGATTCATAGTATTACACCCGTGTTTGAGTCTTTATTGAAAGCAGGTGTAATAATGGAGTGTGATGATTCACACTAAATTGTCCATGTGAAGAAAAGTCGAGATCTGAGGGAACCAACTGAGTGACGATGTGTGGTCCAACCGCGAGCACCTCAAATTTCTAATCCACGCCATTATGTCACTCATCCCTCCGGCAATTTTGTATCTGTACCTGTGCACGAGGACAGTACATTTTGGTTTGCCTTCTCACGAAGGAAAAGGCTCTACCTGGACCCAGGTGTCCTCAGGGATATTAAAAAAGCCCCGGTGTATTTAACAGAGCCTTGAGAGACAATCTGGCTAATTTAAACTTACCGAACGGTTCTTCCTTGTTACAATATGTTGATGACATCATGATTTGCAGGCCAAAGAAAAAGCATGCAAATATAAAAATTTTTGCCTGCAAATGGTCACAAGGCTAGTCCGTCCAAATTGCAATTTGCTTTCGATAAAGTTTCATATCTGGGACATGTGATCACAGCAGAGGGCAAAACCCTCCCTCCCAAAAGAATACAGGCTATTCAAACTGCCTAAACCACAAACTAAGAAACAAATGATGAGCTTCTTTGGAATGATGTCATATTATATACAGTAGATCCCAATATTGAGAAAGAGAGGCACCCCTCTCTTCCATGATTCATGGTAAACTTCTTTATGCGCACGACAAGCCGACCTGGACTGACTACTGCTTTTAATGGCATGAAGGACGCATTACTGTCAGCTCCGACACTTGGACTACCTAAACTTGACACACCGTTTACACAATACGTGGACCAAAGAGACGGTGACATGACATTAGTTTTGACTCAGGAACATGGGGGAAAACAAAGCCCTGTTGCATATTTCTCTACTAGACTAGACCCTGCAGCAGCTGGCCTTCCTCTGTGTCTGCGTGCTATTGCACGTGATAGTCCCATGGTTCCTTCTGCTGTTTTACAGATTAGAGTAAATTAATACATTCGATTTGCCTAACATTACTGTGAAACGATGTACCCTTAATCCTGACACTCTTTCCTACTCCAGCAGATGGAGAGCTGCATAACCAAGTCAATGCACAGATAATATCAGTGTGTGGTATGTTATTTCACAGAAACTAACTGCACATCTAAAGATAATAAACCTACCATGAGAAGGAGAGAACAAAGTGAATGTGGCATACACAGAGGGAGTCGATCCGAGCATCAAAGTGATGTAGCAAAGACAAGGGAAAACCTCAGGGAGGAAATTCGGGCAACATTTTATTTGGAGGCTTCAACTTTTTGGAACATCAAATCTCAACAGAGTCTCCACAGGTTGTGACATGTTCAGTTAACATCCGGACGGGTTTGGGTTCGTGACAAAAACAAGGTTAATTGAGAGAGGGGGCATTTCTTCTTTTGGTTTTGGGAAGCGTCTGGCTCCGGTAGTCTTATTGTGCTTCTCTCAAAGAAGCAGCACAAACACAAACCATGCAGGATATCATGAACTTACATTAATGAGCAGGTACAAGAAGAATACAATGAGTGTTTGGCAAAGGGCCTCTGATCTCACCGGTGTGTGAGGAGATGACCAGTGGCAGCTTTGTGTGTTCAATGTTCCTTTAATCTCTACAGAGCAGGCAAAAACTATAGTGCAAAGTATGTCAAGTTAACAGTAACAACAACTGGCTTTTGTGCCACCTCAGAAAGTGCTGCACTAGTACTGACCACAGGACTGAGACTACTATTGAGCCTCTTGTAAGATTATGGTGGGTTTATCAAAGAGCCTGTTGGAGAAAAAGTTAGTGTATTAAGTTAAGGCGGCTTTTAGACAATAAAAAACAGAGTTATTTGAAAAAGAAACTGTTTGAACCCCAGCTGTGATATATTGAAACTATCAGAGCAATGCACGAACCAATTACTCCTCGTCCAGGACAATCCCATCACCACCAAACAAAATGACTGGAGGAATCGATAACGTTTCCTCTCAAATGATGTGCCTTTTCTACCCATTTATGAACTCCTTGCCATCCTCAGCACTTCCTCTTCTTGCAGTACCCATCCACCACCTCTGGCAAGAGGCTGTCGTCCTCCTCCACATCCTTCGTCACGGTCTTTCCCACCATTTGGAAGATGTCCTCGGCCGCGATGCCCATCGGCTCAGCCACCTTCACCGTCAACATGTCCTGAGTCAGGACGGTTCCTTTGGGGATCTTGACCTTGGCCACCAAGGACTTACCCAGCTTGAAGAATAGACAATAAAAGGTCTGACATCATTATTGTTCTCATGGTTGGGAGTTGAAAACAATTTCAAAAATGTTGTCTTAAAGGTTCTCTGTCTTTCTGAACAGTACAAATGTAAGTTTCTGATGGCTTTTTTTTTTTTTGTGGAGCCAGAATATCTCACCTTATCATGGCACGGCTTCTCACAAGGTAACATCTGCTTGATGCCGGTGCCCTGCGCCCTCTCCACCAGTCGGATGGAACGAACCAGCTCGGCTAGCTCACTGGGCTCCAGAGAGGCTTCGTGGTCATTTCCTTTCCAAGTCTTGTCCAAGGTTACGTGGCGCTCGATGACCTTTGCACCCATAGCTACGGCCGCAACTGAAATACTGATCCCAGACTCATGGCCGGAGTACCCGATGGGAATATCGGGAAATTCCTTCTGGTATTCCTGTAGTTTACAAGTGGGTGAGTTATTTTTTTCTGATATGCATACAATGTTTTGTATTACACTATGATAGATAGATAGATAGATAGATAGATAGATAGATAGATAGATAGATAGATAGATAGATAGATAGATATATATATATATAAATAAAGTAATTAAATTAAGTGTATATTTTTTAAATGGGAGTTACTAAAACTAAAATAAAGTTAAAGCTAAGCTTAGCATTAGAGACTAGAAATTTAGAAACTAGAAAAGCGTATTTTTGCTATAAATATATTGTTATAATGGTGTGTTCCCAGTAGTAGAGGTGAAATGCTGCCCACATTTCTTTGGAGAAGGTGGCTAGGCATTACACATTGTAGCTTTAACCTCATAAGAAAGTGTCAATTCTACATGGCCATGAAAACAGGAAGATTAATCTTAATTATTGTAAATTTAATTTGGGGAAATAAATGCTAAAAACACAAATTGCAATAAGACGTGTGATATCTTAATGGCTTTTGAAACTCAATATGCATCTGCTAAAAAACTTCTAATTTTGCTTTCAATGGAGTGAGACAATTTCACAACTCATCTTGTTTTTGTACCAACCTTTTGATAAAGGAGTAATGCTCTATTCTTCTCACCATTATCACTCTGAGGTTGACATCTTCAGCTTCCAGAGGGTAGGCGCTGGTGCACTGCAGGATGGTAAAGTTGGGGTTGTGCTTCTTCACCGTTTTGTAGACCCGACGCATCGTCTCCATGCTCTGCATCCCACTGGACACCACCATGGGCCGTCCTGACACAGACAGGAGCGCAACAGCCTGATCAACAATATGTATAACATGGGCAAAGGGGGAAATGCAACCCTTCTCTTTCCTCTTAATGAGCTCCTGTAGTTCAACAATCAAGCTCACTTCATTTATTTTTCCTCTCCCACTTTTTAACTAATTTCTACTGACACATTTGTGCATTCTTTCTGCTTCTATTGCTCTTTTATTGTTTTACTTAATATAGTATTTGTTTATGTAATAGTTATGAAGTTGTTAAGATCTGGCAGGAGCGTGTTTGATTATTAGCAAGTATGAAACTAAATTATTGACATCTATAAAAATGATTCATGTCAATAAGATTATGAACAAATATTAATAATAACGGGGCACCACCCTGAGATCACGGACCAATAACCAAACTATAAATTAAGTTAAAAAATTGCTGTTCACTCACAATGTGCATAGTCAAAGTACTATTCCACATTCAGAGTGAAGGTTTGAATTCGAGCACAGACCACGATATCCAGCTATAATCAGAATAGTGACCACGCCATGTGAGACTACAAAAATGTAGAATAGAACAGTAATTTCGGAACGGAACTCGGCGGTCCGTAAACGTACGCGATACCACGTTCAAAATACAGTAAATTTAAACAAAACAAGGTAACAGACACACTATGGCCTATCTCTGCCCAGACACAAGTCTCTTACTCTGAGATGACTTTGTAGCGGTCGATGAGGTTCTTCGAATTTCTTCAATAAATTCGGGATCCAGAGCTTCAAGCTGCGCGGCGATAAATCGTCCATATGGCAGCATGGATTCCTCAAGGGAATCTTTCTTCCTTACGACCGGCAAACGTCGACTGTAACGTCCTTCTCTTCCTATGAAGAATATGATTCTTCCTTCTGCAGGTTAATCCACTTCTCATTTGGCATCCAAAACAGTCTATTGTTCGACCAGCGAATGTAGAACTATTCCTATGTTTTCTTAAAAGCAACAACGTTGTGCACGCCCCCTTTCATGCGAATCGAATTGCGTGGGATGGCTCCGAGCTGGAGGTAATGCAGATTTTTATAGTCTCAGTCACGCCACAGGGAGCCGCCTGTGGCCCTCGTCCAATGAGACCCCAGTGTTGTTTGGACCAAAAATCGTAGGTGAGACTTAACGTCTGGTGGGGCTGTTGAACCATGTAGGCCCAACTTCCAACTCCCTTTGTTCCAACCACATGGTGAAGTCCCAACAAAGAGCACTGATGATTTTAGCATTTAAATATGCAACATAAAATACATCTGCTGCAGTTCACGCTCACCTTTCTTGGCAGTCTTCTCCAGATAGGGGAAGTTGTTGGTGTCTCCTGAGCCCACTTTCAAGAAAGGCACATTAAGCTCATGGAGGAACTCCACTGCCATCTAAAAGACAGGAAAAAAAACATACGGTTAAACTTCAACCTGATTAAAACCACAGAAAGCCTTCTTCAAACGTCTCTTTCTTACCTCATCCATCCCAGAGGCAGTGAAGCAGATCCCCACCTCCGCAGCATATTTCTGCAGTTCCCTGTACTGCTCATGGCTGAACTCCAGATGGCGCTTGTGGTCACCATAGGTTTTCCCCCAGGAGTGAACAGAGTTGTACTCGCGCTCCAAGGCTTTCTTGTTGAATTTATGCTCCAATTCACTCTTCTGGAATTTGGCACAATCAGCACCGCAGTCCTGTGAAGGCAGAAATAAGTGAAGGACTAAAAAGAAGGGAAGCTTGTAAAACATACTAAGTAGTGATGATTGATTGTAGGGCTCCTACAGATTGTGCTAAAAAACACAGTAATGTTCCTAGAAAGGACTATTTCGTGCTATTAAGAGGAGACAGTGTTCAATTACTACACTTGTCATTTATTATACCTATTAAAATCTATTTCTAGTGTTACAAATAGTTGTTTTTTCACCAGGTGAGCTGATCATGAATTAATGGGATCTAAAAGCGACATAATAAGCAACATATATGGGGAATGAAGTTCACATTAAATAGATAAGAAAATATGTTTAATACTGTGGTTTAATGTAGTTCTTCTAAAGGAAATTCCTCTAGAAATTAACAAAAGCTTATAACTTAAATAACTCAAAACGTCTCGATTTTCCCTGTAACTGGGACCAAAATGCACAGTTAATTTCAGGAAATAATTAACATGATACACCTGCAAAACAAGGCTCCACTGAAGGTTTAAAGGAGCAGCTATACTGAAGTGTTTTTACTAAGAAGTTGTGTTTTTAGGTATTTACACTGAATACACATAAAACGGGCGTGTGCTTCGGATTCAGTACAGATACGGTTACCTAACATGGCCACTAACTAACACAAGCCAAACTTCATTTAAAGTAATGATTCAGAAGAGGACGGTGAGGCGACAAAAATATGCAATCGGCACATTTTTTAATTGAATTCTGATTTCGTTTGTTCTCGTATCAGAAAATATACGTATTCACATTCAATATAAAGTGACGATTTTATTACCTTTGCCATTTTGATCATTTTCTTGGCAATCTCAATGTCTCCCTGGTGATTTTGTCCAATTTCAGCGATGATGAAGCATGGATGATCTCCTCCAATCATTCTACCGGGACACAGCTCGAACGTTAACGGCATTTTGCCCACAGAAAAGAAAACGGAAAACAAACCGGTTCAATTAACGGAATTATTTAGCACGAAGCGAAAGCCGTAACTGAGACTTGAATCTGACCGGACCAATTCATGTGCTGCACAACCAGGATGTGGGAGGACTTCCGCTTGTATTTTGACGTAATATCCGGATTTCCTTTACAGATAAACAATAGCGCAGAGATCGGGAAGTAGCCGATGCGTGTCCCTGTGCTTCAGCTGCATATAGACTGTGATACTGTCACACTAGCACTGCCTCCTTATGCACATGCAAATTATCAAGTTTCACCAACATCAAAACTAAACGAAAACATCCATTTGAACCCTGTGACAATGGTTCTATTAGGTATACAATATTTTGGGTGAAAAGCAAGCTGAGAGAGGTGGAAAACTCTCCCATGCGCCCATCCCCAAATCACACGAGAAAAGACCAAATAGATGCCTCTAATGAGTTAGTACTCTGAGCGACTACAGACCTGTTTATTCTGTGTAGTTTGCATTTTTGTAACTGCAGTTATTTTCGTTGTGACCGGAGCAAAGGGATCTATATGTTACAAGTTCCTTCCTGCAGAGTTGGGTGATGATTGAGTTCGTCACTACAAGCGACCTCTTTCATATTACACAATTAAGACCCACTGTTAGCAAATATTGATCAGTGCAGCTATAAGTTCAATTTATCATATTATTAATGGCAAATTTGACAATAAGAGTGCAGCTAGCAAGCTAATAAGCCAGATATTGAAGCTGGTGGCGACTAAACTAAAGACAAAATCGTTAGAAGTCCTGTGATACCTTCAGTTGACGGTCACAATTCTGAGCACAGAAGAACATTAAATATCCAGTTGAAGAATGACAGGACAGTTTTCATTCACTTTTTACTGATATTGAAATCAAATGAACGAACACGCATGATCAAGCAACAGCTGGCTAATATCTAGTTCTCTTCAAAACCACAACTGTCTAATTTCAGTGACATAATTGTTTTATATACTGTATATATATTGCCTTCTGTATATGTACATAGGTACACGCATAAGAGTACATACACTGTTGAGGTTTAATCGCACACACAAACGGGTCATATTTATTGTAATGACTGGACTTTGTTCAGTCCCTGACTGGAGAGGGGAGAGGCTTTTCAAAAGGAAATAGATTGGAACACAATTTGCCACAAGCAAGCTCTACATACACAGAAGTACACACTGAATTTGGAGTTCTGTCATTGAATTTGGTCCCTTAAAAAAAAAAAAAAAAAGACAAATTCAGAGATAGTGTTTTCTTTTGCAAGGGTGGGAAACAAAAGGCAAACTATTAAACATCAATCAACCCTCGTGGGCGAGAGAAGGATTCATGAGACTGACAGGTTAAGAGAGAAGAGCATCATGGGAATGATATCGTTTGGGTGTCACAGAAGGGGTCTAAGGCCCTTTTTCCTTCAGACTACAGATTGGGTTGGTTGATGTGCGGTGACAGACGATGATATGGAATGACGCCCCGAGCAGTCTTGGCCTCCTAGCGGACTAGCGGGGACTGCTTCAGGGAGATGAGGACGGAGCGCATGCGGGACACGTCTTTGGCCTGCTTGCTGGACTTGGGGTTGAAGTCACAGAGCCGAGCCACCCGCTCCCACTCCGTGCCCGGGTTGTTCTCATCCAGATCTGAAATCATTGCCTCCTCAGCCGCCCTACAAGAAACAGGGGAGAGGAGAAGGAAAGGACACGGAGTAGAAAACAATCAGTGGGGGAAGTGGTAAGACACACCAAAGTACACATACAGCTCCGAAGAAGTCCTCTGCTGATCACCAACACACACACAAGCTCAGGTGGAAAAACTCAGTCCTGCCTTTGATGATTAATTTGTCAGAAATCTTCAATAAAAGTCAAAATTTCAGTCAAATTTGAGGAATTGTCCAAAAAAACATTAAGCATAAATCCCTACAATCTCTTTTTATGGCTTGGTGAGACTTTGATGGTTCAGCAGAGTCTACTTTAGGGCAGGACAGTCCAATCAACACACAGAGATGGACATCCATCTGTCTTTAGGCCCATAAAGAGCAACAAGCTACAACAGTTTCATCCCCTGTGGCATGCCCCCCCCCCCAACTCTGCTTACACATTACAGTACAGTCACCGGCATTATGTGACTCTCCACAACAGTTAATAAGTAAGGTACATACAACACACTGATGAGAAATCCAAAGAAACAAACCAAAGCTAAACAAAGTAGTCAAAGTAAGGCATGACAAGCATCTTTGGTTGGTTAAAAATGCCGTTCTGTACAGAACTGGGGGAGGGGCGTTTGCCCACACCCTTACACTTCAACTTGCCTATTTACACTGATCTTATTCCTCAGCAAGACCCAAGGACAAAAAACTCATCTGTACACATGTCCTTGATTAAAAAGGAACAATCATGGCAAGTTTTTAATTTTTGTTTTTAACCAAGCCCAAAAGAACTGGAAGCACTGCTGGGCCTTGGCCATGCATTGCAATGCAGCTGAAAAGCAGGCTATTTGGAGGTGTGACAAAGAATGCGTATATTAACAGATCAATTACTGTCGTCCTAGTTAAGGTTTGGCGTTTGAAATCATCCATCAAACAAAAATAAAAAGACAAATATAAAGATATTTACACTGGAGGACTTGCATCACTTGAACTTAAAAAAAACAAAAAGTAAAAAAAAGACCAAACTTAAATCTGAAAATGGATCAGTGCCACTATCGCAAGACATTTTGAGATGCAAGCCACAGATTATGGCTAAACAAATGTACAGTAAGCCCTCATCACACCCAACCCACAAAAATAGTAATATTTTCCACTGCCGTAATACTTTTCTAATTACAAGGATTCTTTTTTATTTCCCACCCAACCTGCAAGCACAAACTCCGCTACCAACTACAACACAGTACACAAAGCAAAATGGGGATGAGAAGCCAATGAAACATTCACCGTCACAACAAACTACAAATACACAGAAGGGACTAGAAGTACCACAACATCACAGAAGGGACATTATAACAAACCACTATCTAGGCAGTGGAGCTAGCTGTCGGGATAGTAAACTGTGCAACATATCAATTACCTAACATACACACATCACTGCATTGATCCCCTTTTTAAAGATAAAGTATTTGGAGGTTGTGGGGTTTCATTGTTTTACTTAACTGGTCTAGGCGGTAGCAAGGATGGTTAATGTGTGTGCTTTAAGGTGCATAGGAAAAGAAAACAGGGAGAAACAGTTTCACAAGTCAGAATTTAGAAGAGAAAGAGAGAGAGGGGGGGGGGGGGGGGAAATGAAAGACAACAAAAATGAGCTTAATGCAGATGTTGAAAGCCAGCATGCAAAAGCGACCATTTTTTAAATGTCATCTTTTTTTCTTCAACAGTGTTCAGAATTATTCTGATGTGCAGCCTTTGGTTTGGTGAGTGGAAAAGACATTTTTGCTTTATGCTATATTTCTGTCTCACACTCACACAACTGTGTTGATTTTTTAACTAATGTTCAAGAGCTCACCTACGAGCAAGATTACCTTGTTTCAAGACATTAACGCAATTCATTTAACAACATTTGCAGCTCCCACTCCCCCCAGACGTTAGTAGGCATTGTTCAGGTGCATTCATTCTCGTCACATTTTTTAATTCCCAACATTTGTGTGGGAAGTGGTATTCACATCACACAAGCCTTTTTGTTCCGACTGAATGCTTAGAAATGGAGTCCCCCTCAGTCTCACACTAACAAGATGTGTGATAAAGGTTCATTCTACACCAACAATCCCACATATAAAAGGGAATAATACGCTGCATAAACTGCATTGAGGTGTGCACTTAATCAAAATATGAATAATTTAAAAAAAAAACTGGCTATTGAAAAACACAGTAAAATACCCCTTTTCCTAATCATGAGACAAACTCTTTATACCGCGAGGCATTCAAAACATGTTCAGGTCTATTAATTTACAAATACAGTGAAAATGTAATGAATCGAGCTCAACGAGCAAGCTGATGAAAGAACTAGAAATAAAGATGTTTACCAGGGAAAATGTGATAGCTTTCAGCTATGTACTTTTTATGTTTATTACTGCTACAGGTTTGGTCTCTCCTTGAACCTGGAAACCAAACCTGATGAATAATAACAATTTTTAAAAAGCATGCACACCACAATGCAGCCTAATGGCTGCTCAATAGTCATTTTCGAGCAAAACCAAAGGCTGCACAGCTCGGCTCATTGGCCAGCTAGCTGGGGCAATTAGCACGCCATCGTGTCGTACAGCAGTAGCTACGGAGCAGCTGACATTCTGAAGCATGAACACAGTTCAGTTTGAAGCAGTTGTGTAACCATGATATGACCAATGGTGCTTTCAATTAAGTCTTTGCTGTGCATTTTCTCTGAGCGAGAGGAAAGAGAGATAGTGAGTGCTGGACTCAATATCACAAGTCAAGTATATCTGCAGGCTTAAGAAACCCAAAATCTGAACCGTTTAATGCTACCTGGAAACTGAGGAACCAAAATAATACAGAAAGAAAAATGTCCCTAAACCATTTATGACCTTCCTGCAGGCTATATAAATGTAAAATATTCTTAAAAAGGCAAAACAAGATATCAAATGGAGTTTCTGAAGCTTGCAGATAATCCTCTAATTAAAAGTCCAAATAAAAGGAATACAACTTGACCGTCACACAGTTTGGCACTATCCTGTTCTGCGCATAGCCCTCGTCTTTACATAACCGAGTGGCTAGGGCTGGGAATATGGGAAGTTACTTTCAGAGGAAGGAATTGTCACCAAAAACAATGCCAACTCTGCACATTGTTTAGTGAAATAATATCTTATTTTATAAACAACAAGTTTAGGTGATGTCAGGTTTACCCAAACAAACGAGTCCAATTAGTAAAACACACTTGCTTCAAACAAATCTATACGCATCCTACTCCTGAATAGCATATTTTGAAGATTAATTTGGGGAGAGAAATAAAAAGGTGTTAAGTAGAAACAAAACACTTCATACAATTAATGTAAGCAAGCGTTAATCGTTGGGAACTTTGGCTGAAGTGAAGCAGGAAAAGAGTACGGACATGGAAACGGATGAGGTCTGGTCATGAAAGGATTCATTTCATTTCCACGGATGGGACTGAGGAGCGTGGAGGTGAAGTGGCATGCAGTCATTCTCTTTACGGATAACTTCCTGACAGGCATCCACTCACAGATGACATGCAGACATATGGGGGAATAATTATTACTGTGGTTGACATTTCAAAAAGAAAGACAAAGCTAGTTGAAGCATGTAACAAAATCCCAAATCAAAGTAGTTCAAACATGAACATGGAACTAAAAAATGTCAACACTGCCCGAACTAGTAATGAGATGATGGCAATGGTTGGATGCTCGGAGTTGATGACAATGGAGGGGGAGGGGGAGG